TAAAAAGATCGAAGAGCTCTGCGTACTTAAGGAAAGTTGTTCATTCTTTGTTTGTTGTTTTTTAAGGATAGTTTTAGGAAATTTACTCGTATAGTGATATCTTGTTTAAAAAAAGAAAGAAAGAAAAGAAACCGGAATGAATACATGTTTATGCAAAGAAGAGCCAGTGTCATAACTACTATTTTATAAATGATTATAGAGATCATTAGAAATCTTTACCTTTGCTTTTATGACACTGTTTTTCACAACTTGATTTTTTTGATGTTCAGACATAGGATTAAGTTTTTACAGTATTATTCCTATAAACTACATTTCCTATGAGGAAAATGTGGCATTTTTAGAAACAAAGGTATTGAAAAGTATAAAATGTACTTTGATTTTATGATATATTAGGTAACTTACTGCATATTTTTGTTTTTTAAATTATAATTACATATGTAAAATATCAACTATCGATATAATATCTTTAATCATGAATAATATACATCTATGTTAAAATGAATCTGAATCTTTAATATCTTTGGTTGTAAAATTCTGTCCCTTGATTATTATTTTAGTACAGTTGGCAAAAAAACTATACAGAAAGATCTGTTTGCCGTAGAGAATTCCTTTTTTCTTTTCAAAGTCAGCTTATTTTGGTCAGCAACGTGAAAAATGAGCATTTATTTCTTTAGGGAGAATCAAACCAAGATTAATGTGAATTTGTAGGAAGCTAAGAAAGCAGCCATACAACACCTGCCTTCTTATTTCAAATTCAAAGTACTAGCAGTGGGAATACTATAAATATGATATTATCCATATTTCTATTCACCTATTAAATAAGAATTCCTAAAATAGAGTGCCAGTATGAGAGAAAAATGTATTTAAATTATAAAAATCAAGTTCTACAAAAAAATATGCCAGATAATGTGACCAGTGTCTGCCTTTAAAATATATTGCTGTATTCGTACTAGTTTTGACTTAATTAATGAGGAGCCTCAGAGACCCTTTGACAGTACCTGAGAGGCATAAAGAAAAAGCATAAAAAAGAAAAAGCATGCATCCCAGTTCAGTAATTTTAGTTAACTGTTAACATAAAATAACATAAATCAGAACTAAGAAATTATGAGATAAAAGTTGTTTTTATAAATATTTCCTTATTTCCTTTCCTATTGTGCATTTTTTAATTTTTTTTTTTAATTTTTGTAGTTATAGATGGACAGCATGGCTTTATTTTATTTATTTTTATGTGGTCCTAGGGATTGAACCTGGTGCTTCACACATGTTAGGCAAGTGCTCTGCTACAGAGCTCCAGCCCCAGCTCCCATGGTTTAACATCAGTAATCTTCTTAAGTCATTCTTGGTATAGACTTAGGCTTTTTTTTTTTTTTTTTTAATTGTGGTGCTAGAGATTGAACTTTTTCAGTGCTTTACCACTGAGATAGATACATTCTCAGCCCTTTTTATTTTTTATTTGGAGATAGGGTTTCACTGATTTGCAAAAGATGGCTTTAAACTTAAAATTCTCCTGCCTCAGCCTACTGAGTAGCTAGGATTACAGACATATACCACCACATCTAGCTAGGTTTTGTTTTAATAAGTGTATATAATGAAAGTGTATTTTCTCACTGATGTTATTGATAAAAGCCCGATCTTTAAAATGAAGGATTAGTCTTTATTGTGTGAGTGCTCTATTTGTATTTTTATTAAAGTAGCTCTTAATTTTATGTATAGGTGCTTATGCATTTACAGTGAGATAATGTCCTTAGTAAGTATATCATAAGTTGAAAATAAAGTTGCAAAAGCATTTAATACACCTAACATTCTCAACATCATAGTTTAGTGACATAGCACTTTAAAGTATAGCTGCATTCACTGCCACTGATCAGCATCAGGAAGAGTATCATGCTACATACCACTAGCCTAGAAAAAAATTCAATACTTGGAAGTATAGTTTCTACTGAATGTGTATTGCTTTGGCACAATTATAAAGTTGAAAAAGTCAAACCATTGTAAATTGGGAACTGTCTATAGTCTTAAAACATTGGTTTCATCAGGCACAAAAATGAAGATTATTAGCTATTAGACTACGACTGAAACTTAGGTGGACCCTGGACCTGAGAATTTTTTTTCACTTCATTTTCCAAAATATCTTTGACAAATAAATATAAAGGTTCAGAAATATGTGGGTGTTTCTCTTGAATATTGTCTGTTTTTAAATAATGCTTATTGTTAATTTGGAATCTGTGTGTGCTTTGTATTTGTTAAAATATTATTGTTCATTCATGATTTTTTAGCAACTGCTATATATTCATTTAATAGTATAGGAAAGATAAAAAAAATTTCAAAATGGAGGAAACAATTATACCATAGTTGAGGGATGCTAACATAGGAATATATGTATATAGTACGTGGATGTACTAAGATTCTGATTGGTGTGTAGAGCAGGTGATTCTGGAATTAAGACTGGAAGAATGAATCAGTGTACCAATCAGTTGAAAACAGATAGCATATTCAGAAAAACAGTATTTTGAAGAAGACTTAATGATTTAAAGGATCTGAAAAAATTAAACTCAGTAAATGAGTTTTACTTATTTTTTGTGATCATATATACTCATCATCTTTAATAACATTTTCATATTGAAGATCCTAGTTATTATTACTGAATAGGGACATCTGTTTCCTTTATCCCTGAGACTACAATTTTGTGTCAGGGGTTTGCAGATGCAAAACATTAAGAAGAATGCTATAGGTAACAGGCTAATGTCTGTAACTTAGAAACACTCTTTTGACCAGAGTCTAAGAACATCTATAAAACTTTGCCATCTAAGATTATTTGTTTAAATTTTAGAGTCTTTAAACCCCAAAGCTAAGATGTATGTATCATATATTTTGTACTTCTAAACAATTTCCATTTGTAAATAGTTTCAAACACAAATGTATATATACATACTCCAGTTTAATAGCAGGCATGTTTTTAAGTGCCTCTTTATCTTTTATTATGAAAAAAGTTAAAACACACAAAGGTAAAAAGAAGGGTAAGATAAATCTTCATATAACCGGTGTTTCATCATTGACCCTACCTCTCTCCTACCACACACATACTAAGAAACTAGTCTCGGACATCATCATTTAAGCATGTTTAAGAAGGCATTCAGGAGAGGAAAGAAAAACACATGACAAAATTGTGAATTAACATACTCCATTAGAAAGATGATAAATGCACTTTGCAGATTTCTTTTCCAACCACTTAACTACAGGAATCTTTGTTCTGTTTAATACAGTAAGTCTGCTCATTATTTCCTGAACATATAGATTCCTTCTGTGTTGCACCCCCCATCCGCCCCATCCCATGTTTCTGTCTCTTCTGGAGCCTGTCCTCTATTCTAAATTGTTCCCTCTTGAATTATAATTGTTCCTGCTTTCTTCTCAACTTTTCTTCATGGAAACGTTCTTTGTCCCCATGGCTCAAGCCATTACTTGCACATGCTACAGTGTATTGTTATTTAGTTTTAAAAGGGCGTGTCCTTTTCTAGCTCTTCTAGCTGTTGTGTACCTTTCATCTATAATGGAAAGGTAATAATAATGTCTATATCAGATAATGAAGATAAATAGTACAAAACAAGCACTTAGTGAATATCACTAATTGTTGTTAGCCATAAACTACTAGAAGGAAGGCATCATGCCCCCCAGCATCTAGCATTGTTCCCCAAACAGAATACAAGCTAAGTATACATTTAGTCATGTTGGCTAGGAGGCAGTTTGCTTTGTATTTCATGAGGTTATTATCTAATACTGTTTATTAAAATATTCATGTACATGTTCAAAATGTGACCTTTGAAAGATGAGCATTGTGAGGTACTACTGTGTGTTCTATCTAAAATCAATCTGTAGTTATCACTTGCTTTGAAGGGTACAAAGTTAAAACCCAATTCAATTAAAATTTAAGTCACATTAAACTTTACCTTTGCTATATCCATGTAGTTATTTGCATAGAGAAGTATTAAAATGGTAATTACAAATCATTTTTATCTTTTTTAGACTATATTAAGTAACAGAAAATTTGAGGAATTCAGAGTTAAGAGTTAGATAAAACTTATAGGTTTAAATAGCAACCTATAAGCAAAATATAGCAAAATTTTTTATTCAAACATTTTTGTTTGGCCTTCTGCCTTGTATCAAGCACATGGTCAGTTGCTAGAGACTTGAGAGTCTGGTAACAGTGTCCACCGTTCAGGGATGACTATTATAACAAAAGTTGCATTTTTTTGTGGAAATAGAAAAGAGTATACTAAATGAAATATGAGAGCGGAAGCAGATATGTTCAAGGAGACATCCTGAAAACGGTGACGCTTGAGCTTTTTTAAAGAGTAAGCATACCTTGACTGTGAAAACTTATGGTTTCTTATGATTCCTTTGTTAACCTTTAGAATAAGAACTATTGACTAATGACTTAAAAGAGTCTACAGGGGAAAAAAAAGAAATAGAAAAGAAAAGCAAGCATTGTCTAATTGCCTACTGTTTGTCCAGGCATGGAACATGATCTCTTAAAGCATATTTATCCCAGAAAAAGTTCAAAATTGAAAGAAGCTTTAGTCAACATTTAATCTTTTTTCCCCAATCTCCCCCAGCTTTACAGATTTAAAACCGAAATTTACACCAGTAATTTCACTGATCATATGGCTAGCTACTGGAAGAGCTTGGAGACCATGGTGTTCTGTCTAGAATGTCTGTGTTTATTACATATTGATTTGCTGTGATCAGCTATTTTGAATTACAAAATTTTACAAGTTTTGGAATTGACAGTTTCTGTTGCGTCTCCTGCATTCGTTAGCACAAAAAATGCAGAGGAATATGCACCTGTGGAACAGTTCATAATTCTGGTTTTATGTGTTGTCAGACATGTCATTCTGTTTGCCTTGTTGAAGAATTAAAAGCATGAGTTTTAATAAGTATTTGTCTGGCATGTCTTATTTAGACAGTTTTTCCTGTGATATTAATTTGTTTTTTTCTCTTTTTAGTCTGCCATTTTCAATTTTCAGAGTCTGTTGACTGTAATCTTGCTGCTTATATGTACCTGTGCTTATATCCGGTCCTTGGCACCCAGCCTCCTGGACAGAAATAAAACTGGGTATGTTACTAATGATGTCTGATCTTACAGACATTGAATGTAAATTACCATGAAAGTCATTAGATAATTTAATTCTGTTTGTAGTTTAGTTTATAATCACTTTTTATATTTTCTCCCTATCTTTAAAAATCCAAAACTTTATACTTACAGTATCTTACTAAATACAAGATAAATTTCACAAGTGATCTGAAGTATGACCTGAAATTTAACCTGTTAAAAAAATGTATTTGAGGGATTTTGTTTAACCTACTGAAGATGAAAACATTAATTGTCCATCAGCTATTATGACAATGTCCTATCTTCTTTGTACACATTGTCATCTCCATTCTGCCCTTTTCTCTGAACTCCTATTGCACTTACTATTCAACACTTTATTCTCATTAATCAGGTGTTGAGAATTCTAAGATAATACATAATATCTACCTAATAAAATATTAAGAATTCGTGTTACTAAAAGAATAGGCACATAATAGTACAATAGGCTATTTGTACTTTTCTGGTCCTATTATGAAATTTTTCTTTCAGAAGAAAGGTTGCATGTGGAAATGTCTGCCCCTCAATGCTTTAGGTGCAGAAATGTATCCATAACATGCTACATTAACAAAGGAGTTCTCAGGGCTGCCAACCTTACAGTAGAGGTTGAGTGGTAGTATATTTCTCCAACATAAAGAACCCAAAAAAAGCATTCCTGTTTTTACATTTTAATGTCTAGATTAATACAGTCTACTATTCAAAAGTTTTCTGAAAGTCCTTGTTTCTTCTTTATAAATGTTAAGCACTATTTTGATTTGTACATGTGTTTTCCTTAGAAGAAATTTTTACAGACTGTCCCTTTCTGTTACAATTACATGTTTTTTATGAGATTCATAATCACCTTTTCTTTATTATATATAGCATGTTTAGGTGGAGATGTCTAGACAGATTGGATAAAGCAGGTTCTTGATAACTGCACTATTTAAATAACTTCATTTTTGCTGCTTCAAATAATATAGAACTAAGCAGCAGTAAAACATTGCTACTTATCTTTTTCCTAGTTTTATTGAACTTATAGCTATATCAACAGATTTATTTACTGATGTACAGCCATAACACTAAGTTTTTATCAACTATTTTAATAGTTCCTATTTTTTTAACAAATGCTTGTGATATTGCAGAAATATATCTAGGTAGAGAAATACGTTGAAAAATCCAAAATCATTTTCTTGATGATACTTTGTTATTCTAGAACATAAGACTTGTAAAGATATGGCTTCTGTGATATAATGATTTCTGACTATGTTCATTGGAGTGCCAGCTGAAACTCTTCCATGGAGGGTCTTGGAGGAGCTTCAGATAACCTGCTCCAGGCACTTCAGCCTACCTCTTCAACCAGAGTAGCTTTAAATTATTAGTGGTATTGTGATCAATCGGCTTTTAGAATCAAGGAACCTATATGGCTTTACATATGCTTAGCTTGTTTTTCTTCTGTTTTGATGAAGAAATGTTAGCCAATTTTTTTTTTATTGGTTGTTCAAAACATTACAAAGCTCATGACATATCATCTTCCATACATTTGATTCAAGTGGGTTATGAACTCCCATTTTTTACCCCAAATACAAGTTGCAGAATCACATCGGTTACACATCCACATTTTTACATAATACCATATTAATGACTGTTGTATTCTGCTACCTTTCCTATCCCCTACTATCCCCCCTCCCCTTCCCTCTCATCTTCCCTCTCTACCCCATCTGCTGTTGTTTAATTCTCTCCCTTGTTTTTTTTTTTTTTT